ATATATATTTATCTTGTGTTATGCACAAAATATCACCTCTAAAACCTGAAATTCACCTTTTCCCCATTCTTACAAACAGATGTGCAATAAATCCATTTTCTTTGCTCCAGAATCTTAGCTAGAAACTGGAGATACTAATTCTTTGAATTTCGATTATTTCCCAGAAGTGAGTTGAATTTTATCTTTCTATCATATTCCAATTCAGAAATATGATATTTGACATTCGCGGAGCATAGGTATATAATTTAAGAAAGCATTCATCTTTCAGAAGTGTCAGATCTCTGCGAAATCAATTGGTTTACATGCTCATAACTCCATATTAGATATTAAAAAAAAAACTAATGATCTTTTCAGTGACAGAGATGACAGAGCCAAAAGTTCTTTTCAGCTGTAGGGCATTGTGTGTGGCACAAGTGGCTGCTTGCTATTGTTTAAGTGTTCTCTTCCTTATAAATGCACCTTAGGATAGACGTGTCTCTCAACTTCTTGTAAGCTGGATGATTAGTGATGTTTTTTCTCTTTGTTTACTTGCTGTACTTTTGAATCTTTTAGGTTGCTGCTATTGGATTGGACCCCTCAAAACACTTGGGAAAAGAGCTAGTATATCTGGAGTCCCATCTCCACAAGCTAAAAGAGTATGATACAGTTAGCAAAAATTTGGGCATTAGTTTACTTCAATTTTCCGCATTTTTATGTCTGTTTTTGGCAGGTTATATGGAATAAATGTCTGTGGTGAAGGTGGAGAATATGAATCATTAACCCTTGATTGCCCTCTGTTTAAAGCAAGTATTTCATCTCTCTTTCTCTCTCTCTCTCTCTCTCTCTGGATGGTCCTTGGCAGGAAGCATATGGTTGCACTATATGTTCTCAAAGAGAAGCTAGCTTTATTACTAATTCTGTGATATAGTATTATCAGTGCTTTGGGGAACATTCTACTTCATCTGTTCCATGATTTTTGTTTAGGTTTCATTTCATAAGTCAAATTGAATATTGATTGTGTGATTGTACATAATTTATGCATCTAGTTATGTATTTTTTGTGGGGATTTATTATTCATTTTAGTTTTGGTGGGCAAAATTGCATTGCGCAGTCCAAGAAATGGCTGAGCAAAGCTCAATTTGAACTTCAAAAATCAAGTGAAGTAAAAATGATGTGGCAGAGAGTCGGAGAATATGGATCTAGTGTTAGTTACGTTTCTTGTTTATCACATGTCTTATTTTTTACTCTCGCAGAATGCGCGGATTCTGCTGGATGAATTTCAAATCGTCTTGCATTCTTCAGATGCCATAGCCCCTGTTGGCATCGTCCATCCCCTGGCATTCCATCTCGAAAGGAAGGTAGAGTCAATATCTTCAAATGCCATTGATGAAGGCAGCAATGTCTTCCAGGAGAACGTGGATAAAGTATTTGAAGTGCATGGAGATGCCCAACAAGATGGTGAAGCTGTTGGCGGATTTGTTGCTGTAAGCTCTAAGCGACCAGATGTCAGTAAGGAGGAGCTCAAATTTTCAAAAACAAAGAAGGATGATATCTTTTCTATTTCTTGCTGGCTCCAAGATTCGTGTAAAAATTCAGCAGGTAAAAACATCGAGTTACTGTATAGAAGGTTTATGTTGTAGGTGGATCGTATCTGGTATTGTGCTATATGTTGAATTCTCTCTCTGATCTAGTTCCTCTCATGTCTCCTCTGTATCTTTTTAGTTTCCAATGCTTTTAGCCTTGTGATTGCCAGATTTGCGGGAGGATCTGGAGGTTGTTTTAATGAGAATTGAAGCTCTACTCGTGGAAAATGGTTCCTCTTGGGAAAATGTACTATATATCCATCTTTATATTGCCGATATGGATGAGTTTGCAGTGGCAAATGAAACCTATGTCAGATATATTACTCAGGAGAAGTGTCGTTTTGGTGTACCATCACGGTCTACCATTGAGCTCCCTCTATTGCTAGTTGGTTTAGGGAGGGCATATATTGAAGTTTTAGTGGCAAATGATCCTACTAAAAAGGTCTTGCATGTACAAAGCATTTCTTGCTGGGCCCCTAGTTGTATTGGTCCATACAGCCAGGTACTGATCTTTCAAGTACTATACCATTCATGTCATTCCTGGGCAACATGGTTATCATTTTTAAATCTGTCTTGCTTCTTACTTGGATATAAAGCATATAGTTAACTAGATATCTCTAGTTTCAATTGCTATCAAGACTCAGGAGAATTATCAAGCTTCTGATTCATTTACCACATCATTATGTTGTAGGCTACATTGCACAATGACATCCTACACATGGCAGGACAGCTGGGGCTTGACCCAGCAACAATGGTGCTCTGTGAAGGAGGTCCAGTTGCTGAACTTGAACAGGCACTGGAAAACAGTGAAGCTGTGGCTAGAAGCTTTAATTGTTCAATATCTACATCAGCCATAGTCTTTGTCATATATTGTTCAGCATCCATAGAAACATCAGAAAGAGTTGTTGTTCAGAACAAGGCAGAAGCACTTCTTAATCAAATGAAGTCGCTCCATGCTGAGGGCGCAAAGAAGTCCAAAGTCCTAGATCCAATTTTCCTATATATTCTTGTTCCTGATCTGCCAAAAAGGTAATCTGTGTTTGGGATGCTCCATTGACCATAGTATAAAATGACACTCTAATGTTTGCGCTTCCAAGAACTGTGATGCGGATAGTTAGCTGTGAAGTAGTCGGGTATCTGCTATAACTGTTTTATTTCCTGTATTTGTGCTTCTTATTATGGTGGTTGTCTTTCTTCCAGTTAGTATGACCCGAGAACAAAATGACCTGTTATTTGTCTATGTTTCTCGTCAAACATTTTATTGAGTACAGTTCCTCTATGTAGAGCACTGGTTGAAGTGAAGCCCATGCTTTACACTGGGGAGTATATGTCGGCTCCAAGTGACCATGCCATGCAGTATCAATCCACAGGACAAGGTTATTGGGGCTTTGAGTATGAAACGTGGCATGACTTTTGCCTTCAGAAATGTGTTGCTTATGGGAAAGTATGCACAGCAATTCTTTCAGTTACTGAAGAGCTTGCAGGAAAAATCTGCTCCCTGGCCAATGTTGCAGGTCATGCCAGTGTCAAGTCCAAAGGTCCTGTTGAAAAGGAACAAGTCATAATGATCGCAAGATTTTGTATTTATCGTCTTGATAAAGTCCTTTTGGAGAATAATTTCTCTTGGGACGACGTAATGGTAAGTTTCTTTCCCCGACCCAACATTTTGATTTCACAAATTTTCAGAAGATGAAGATCTTTCTTTTACAGTTTGCCCTTTTCTAGACCCCTTCCCTCGTCCCTGATAAAGTATTCTAGTCCTCTGACACAGGTCTCTCCTTTTGCAGAATTTCAGGCTCTACTTCGCAAGTAGCCTTAATATCCCTCATGGAACATTGTCTCAAATCTTCACTGATGTTTATAATGAATTTGCTCAGATGAGTCAAAGAGTTAAAGTAAATGCTGAGCCTATTTTAAATATCGTTCCAGTCTTGGGTGCTGGGAAGTCTTTATCGACCTTGGATGATATATTCACATGTGAATTCATCGCTAGGAAATGTTAGATCTCATTTAAATTAGGGAATTATATATTAAATGTTGAGAAAAAGAGAATTTTGAACTTGAACAAATTCTTATAATATTATTGCCACCCCAATTGTTGCAAATTACACTTAGCTTTACAGGAAATGAATATATGAAGTGCATCTCATTTCTGCAATACTCTGTGAAGTTGCTTCATTTCTGTGCTGCTTCACTTGTGCTTTGTGTATGATTGTAGTACTCATAGTTGTCTCACACTGTACTGTCCAAGAGAAAAAGAGATGAGCATCGTGAAGGAACTAAGGGGTCGTTTGGTTGGGAAGCAAGCAAGTTATCTCATGATTAGTTATTCCGGGATTAGTTATCTTACCTTCCCATGGGGATAAAAAAAAATACTACAATCCCGGAATTAGTTATACCATGATTTCATCCCAACCAAACGTGGGTTAATCTCATTTCAAATTTAATTCCGGGATTAATTATCCCTTATCCCTCGTACCAAAATCATTTACCATAATTGTTCTTTAAAACATAAAGCATGTCATATTTGATGGATATCAGCAATGTATTTACACCTAAATTCCAAGTTTCGCATGGATCAAGAGTTTTTCAAGTGTTCTGGCTTAAAATAGTGAGAAAAAGTTCTGGCTTTAGACACTGAATTGTTAAAATGACTGTTGATAGACTTCCTTTCTAAGCGCTAAAATCCAATTGCTCTGGGAAACCTCTCCCATTACAGATTAAGGTAGTCAAATTGAAAAAACTTGACTCCATTTTCTAAATAAATTCTTAATGACAGCTTTTTTTTCCTCCATTAGCTGGAGCCTAGAGGCATGAGTCCTAGTTGAATAGTAAAAATAAGAATTCATTCGTTAGCACATATTAATGGGTGAAGTGCACCGGTAGCCACTTTTAAGCCTCCTATTTAAAATATATTTATAATTTACAATGTATTTAAAGATTAGTCAATTTATCGAAACTTCGTTACTAAGTATCCTAGATTTTTGAGCTACCAATTTGAATTTCAGGACTTAATGTCCTAAATTTTTAAGCTGTTAATTTGAAATCCAGGACTAAGTGTCCCGAATTTCTGAACTGCTAATTTAAAATTCAGGACATTGGTTTCGAGTTTCTGGATATAATTTTCGAACATTATGATACGACGTTCTGAAGTTTGAACGAATTGGCTAATCTTTAAATACATTGTAAATTATAAATATATTTTAAATAGCATACTCAAAAGTGGCTACCTGACGTCATTTCCACCATAATAATATGTCGCAAAAATAATTTAACTTTAAATTTATTATTTTATTCTTATTGATATGATATATATATATAAATGTTATTGCATGTTTATGATTGAAAAATTTCAAAATTATCTTCTTTTTCTGTAAATTTTAAATCCAATTAACGAGTTTGATAAATCGGGTCAAATAAAAAAAAGGGTCTCAAATTTCTCCAACCCGTCAAAACTCAAAACTAGTAGGAGTAGTATTTTCCGAATCCCCAAATCGAAATCTCTTCCAGTTCGCTCAAGTCGTTGCCCTCTTCCGGCTATCCCAGCACCGTCGGCGACTTCTCCGGTGAGTTCCCTTTCCACCGGCGACACACATACACGCTCACACTCTCTCTTTCCATTTCTCTTTCATTAAAGAGAAACCTAGTCTCTTTTGCTGCAATCTCTTCTGTTCAGTCTAAAGTATATACGCAAATAAGAAAAGAGAAATGGTTGTAAAAGTTTTGCTTTCAAGTTTGAGCATTTTGTACCCCTTGAATTGTGAGCATTTTGTCTAATCCTTCGTGGTCAGACGTATCCGGTCGAGCATAAAACGAAGAGTTGTAATTTTTTAGTAAACCTAATTTAGTGCTTACTTTAGCAGGTGTATATGAAATACTCTATCAACAATAATGCTTCAATCCCAAACTGATCGGTTTGTTGTATAGAATTCTCTTACTTATAAAAAAAATAGTAGACTGGATTTTATAGCAGGTGCTGGTTCTTTTCCAGGTATACTAATAACTAAAATAAGTGGTTTTGCTCTTCTTTTTATTGCTTGATCAAGCTTTTTGGTATTTGATGATTAGTAGCACATTTTTGGGCCAGTTGTGAGCTTGATTCCTGAATCTACAATGGGGATATGTTGTTTCTGCTATTCTTTGTTAGCACTAAAGAGGCATTACTGACGTGTAGGAAACGACTCTGAAGGTGAATTTTGGCTCTATGTAAGGTTGAGCCTTCAAAGAAATGGCTGAAGGCGGGGAAGAGGACTTGCCAAGGGATGCAAAGATTGTGAAAACGTTGCTAAAATCAATGGGTGTTGATGATTTTGAGCCTCGAGTTGTTCATCAATTCTTAGAATTGTGGTATCGGTATGTTGTTGATGTACTCTCAGATGCTCAGGTCTACTCAGAGCATGCAGGGAAAGCTGCCATTGACTCTGATGATATCAAGCTTGCCATTCAGTCGAAAGTTAATTTCAGCTTCTCACAACCCCCGCCGCGGGAGGTACTAAATCTTATCAGACCCTTCTTGTTGTGCTGATAATTCATTATTCCGAGGCGTAAGATTCGTACCTTTCTTAGAGACCTCTTAAGTGTGTGGTGAAATTGATAATATTTAGCCTTTTCTTATCTAGGAAGGAAAAGTAAAAACGAGACACCGAAACGAAGTATTATATAGTGGCTAAAATGATAGGCTTGCAGTAAATATGGTTCCTTTGTGAAACATGGAGATATCACTGGAGACCCAAAACAAAAAAGAGATTTCACTGGAGAGATGAAAAAATATCAACAATTACAACCTATATTTCTAGGTCATAATTTGGTGCGATTGTATGTGGTTAATTACCGTGGCTTTCAGGAGTTGATGAGGAGCAATTGGTGGCTGAATATTGGGTTAGTTGTGTGGAAAATTTTCAGTTATATGAAGAGCAGAAGATGCTGAAATTTCTGCAATAATTTTAGGGGTGAATGGGTTCTGGCAATTCGAGGTCTGAAAAGTTTTGCTTTTCTGGATCATTTTTGTGATGCTTAGCTGGCTAACCTTTTTAGCATTCATAGTATTATCAGGATATTGGTTAAAAGATAACAAGAAAAGTAGTAAAATAACATTTAATCCCGCGTAGAGAATTTCCTAGAATAATCACCAAAAGAAGGCTGCATAGACTACCAAATAAACGACGACGATTTGAACAAATCAAACTGAATACTTGTAGAATACTCCAGTTAAAGGAAGTTAGACCATTAGCTATTATAAACCAAAGGACCTCCAAAAATCAAGTTACATATTTTAGGTATTATTTCTTTCGCACCTACCTTGTTCTTAGCTATTTAGTTGAGTAGGACTTACTGGATATGACTCCTTCCATTGCAGAGTAGAGAGACATTTGGTTAAATACTTCTTATGTAAAAACATTTTCAGCTATGAATTATGAATTAATATTTTATTTTCATTCTTATTGACTCTATTCCACAAGCGACTAGAAGTACTATGCCCGACTTCTCTTGCTATCTGACAGAACTAGCTTCGTTTTCCATCTGTGACACTTTCTGCCTCATAATACTTATAGATACCTCTTTTTTTGATGAATTAAATTTTTAATTTAATCATTAACCAGCATGCACTTGGTATTGGATGTTTACTTTGCCGTGCATATATGTATTTTTTCCCTTCTTTTTTTTCTTTTTTGGTAGCCCAGCCACCCCCCAAAAAAACCCCATTTCCTAGGAGTCAATGGTGGCCCCTTTCCGACCTTGCTTCATTGGCAACTCTAACTCCCAATCTTTTGGTTCGGATGGATGTGCTCTTTCTAGTTTCTACTGGAGCAAACCTCACTTGTCCTCTGCGCTCAAATTTTTACTCTTCAGAATTTCAGAAATTATGATTTTGTCTCGCTTATCAGGTCCTACTGGAGCTGGCTAGGAACAGAAACAAGATCCCATTGCCGAAATCAATTGCTGGGCCTGGAGTATCACTCCCTCCTGAACAAGATACATTGATCAACCCAAACTATCAGCTAGCTATTGCAAAGAAGCAAATTAGCCAACCAGAAGAAACGGAAGAGGATGAAGAAAGTGCTGATCCCAACCCAGCCCCAACCCAAATTCCAAGTGTTTCTCATGAAAAGGCAGATGTGCCTCAAGGTACTCCTCAGCGAGTATCCTTTCCCCTTGGCACTAAACGTCCAAGATGATGGTTTATGTTTGATTACCTTTGGTGACAAGAGCCTTTGGGACCGGCTTGCTGTGTATTTAATCTAGGACATTGTATAATGGTTGTTTAAACATGGATTATGAAATTTTAAGATTTTTTTTTGAGAGTGTTTTAGTTTAATATAAATCCTTCCAGCATTTATAGACACAATTAGAAGAGAGTTGAGACAAGCTGCGAGACCAAGAATTATTTTGGCATTATCAATACCTTTCCATTATATTCATCTGATAATGGTCACTCTGTAGGATATGCTTTATTACGTATTTATTTGCTACTAAGACTGTAACAGAGAACTATACTTCATATATTGCTGACCTTGCCTAATCTAATGGAAATTGCATCGTTAGAGCCTAACATACTCAAAAACATTTTTTCTTAAAATACGATGTTTGGATGGTTGTTACATGTTGTATTGTATCGTATTGTTACTTTAAATATGATGTTTGTTTTAGTTGTTACTTAAATTTTAATGTATCGTATTGTTAAAGCCGTATTGTTACTTTAATAATGAAAAGTGTCACTTTATGTAATAACCGATAACATGGGCTAAATCTGCTTCACATGCAGCAGAGAATTTTAAGGGAATCCGTATTAATTCCCTTAAAATGTACATAAATGGTAATTGGATATATAAAATATAATTATAGTAAAACTTGAGTAAGGAAGGTAATATAGTTTCATATAGTGTATAGAAATGTAAAAATTCCAATTTTAAATTATTGTGCCAAACGGTTGTCCGTGGATATACTGTAATATCAGATGTTCTTAGGATATGGGAAAGTTTTCGGAAATATTAAAGTTAATTTTTGTGGATTAAATTTGACATCTCTTGATTTCATACGTGTCTCTACACTCTACCGAGTAGGACCTAGTGAGGGGCATACGAGCAGAGGTGAAGTTAGGAATTTCGCAAGAGTGTTATAGTATAAAAGGCAAGCCCGGTGCATAAAGCATCTCATATTCATGCAGGGTCCGGCAATAGGCCAGAATGTTCCATATATAGGAAAAAAGAATAAAATGTAACCTATTTATAGTATAATTTTTCAAAGGATGTTCAATATATATATATGAAAATTATAATATTCAGCCTATATACACTATAATTTTTCACAAAGGGTGTTAATCGATCACCCTTTATCGGCTACAATTCCGCCTATGAAAATTGTGGAAGGGTTAATATTTCCCAACAGCTCAGTGTACTTTTTTACTAGTTATAATATTGTGAATATTTACGAGTTTATGAATTTTCGAGATGATCTCTGTGTAAATATTCTAAGAATTTATTGGATTTTGGAGATTCACACGTTACTATTAATTTCATTTATTAATTTTCACAAATAGCCGCCTATGAAAACGGCTATTTGTGCACTTTGCGTCCACTTCAACAAACTGGGCCAAGCCCAAGCCTTTACACTTACCGTTCTCATTTATAAATCCAAAATCATTCTCATGCAAACCCTAAGGTACAGTACAAGTCTTCTTACCACATTGACCAATCAATCAATTAAGCTAACGCCATGAAAACAGTTTCAGGTAAGCCAACGAAAACTAAGCCAATATCTCTATCTAAAGCAGCTTCACTGATATCAAATTTCGTCGCCGATGAGGCCGCCGGCGCCGGACATTCTCACGCCATTGCAAAGTACTTGAACAGAGCATCCAGTTCGTTCACAGAGAAATTAACCGCAAACGATTAAAAATCTCAACATCGTTGGCTAAAGAGACGAGAAGATATAATGGAGAGACGATAGTTGAAGACTAAATGATAGCATAGAACAAAGGGATGGAGGCAAGCGTAAAATGTTCAACCAAATAGGCCAAGTTAATTCCTTTTTATTTTCCCCTTTTGTCTTATGTAATGCCCCTTTTATTTGAAGATTATAGATATCTGGCGCAATGACTTATAAATTTGTTCAATTTCAAACCCAAAATTTTAACGCGACGGGAGGCATCACTTCTTTTTTAAACTACTATCATCTAGTCTAAAGGCTTTTAGTGTTTGCCAAATTATTTATCACAATTATTTTTAATGTATAGACACATAGACCCCCTTTTCCTTGAATTAAATCTAAGTGATATAAATTTTGATTAGTTAGACTATTGGATACTAAATGAAAAAATGCATAAGTACCCCTAACTTATACCCGGATTCCCAACTACACACTTTTTCTTTGCGGAAATTCTATTACCACCTTAAGCTTACGTTGAATGGAATTATTTGCACCCTAAAACTAGACAACCAAACTCTTGGCAAGTGGTGAGCTACACGCGCCCCCACACATATTTTTTTGTATTCTTTCTTCTTTTTCTTATCTTTTTTCCTTATTATTCTCATTTTTTTTTCATTATTTCATTCTCTTTCCTTTTGTTTTGGTCACCGGCGGTATAAAATGGTGGTCGTCGGAATTTTACAAACACCATTTTTTCCGACGACATATTTTTATCCCGATCTAAGTGTGTTTTCTTTATATATATACTTGAAAGTGTAAATTATGTGTGGAAGGAAGAGCAAAAGAAATAAAAACGAATATAAGCTGAGAAAACTTTTTTCAGTTAAAATTTCAATACATCATTTTTTTTCCGGTGTGGGAAGGTTTGATGAATTTTTTCCTTCAAATCTGAGTGTATTTTGTTTTGCTTATGAATAGATCTTTTTGATAGTTTAATTTGTGTGTGAAAAGAAAAAATGAAAGAAAAACGGTAAAGTCGCCGGTGAATGAATATCTGCCGGAATTAGAGAAGAAACGAAATAAAAGTAAAAGAAAAAAGACAAAGAAAAAGGAAAAGGAAAAAAAAGTAAGAAAAAATGGTAAAAAGGAATAAAAAATAATCTAAAAATCATTTTTTCTTACTTCTCACTCTGCCACGTCAGTGTTAAGGGTGCAAATAATTTCATATAAAATAAGTTTAAGGAGGTAATAGGATTCTCGCAAAAAAAAATATGTGTAATTGAGAATCCGGGTATAGGTTAGGGGTACTTATGCATTTTTCCAATATTAAATAGATAAACAAAAAATTGAGTATTATTTGAGCTTAATAGAAAGTTTAAAGCGTAGGAAAATAATGCTATTGTCAAATCACTCAAAGAGTAAGAAATAACCCAAGGAAATACTCCTATGATGTTTCCAGTAAATAAAAAAAACAGATATGGATTTTACTTTCTCTTTAGGTGAAAATGGCATTTTTATGGTACTGACTACTGAGGGTGAATGCACCTAATTTTTAGGTGTGAATCCATGAATAATTGTGTGATTAAAAATTCAATAAAAATATACAATTCATAACTTTTATAGTAGTTAAAAGTATTTTAAACATATTCGAAAATGGTAGTTAAAGAAAAATTTGTTTTGATTCCTTAATAGTTATAGTGGTTTTTGCGACTAGAGGGAATTAAATATTAAGAAAATTTAAAATACTATCCTACTTGGAAAAGAAATTTTAGCATAATAGTTCCTTATATTATGATCCAAGCCAAAACAGTATAATTGGCATCTTGTTTTCCTTTTTTTTTTTTTTCCTACAGAAAAACAAAGAATATGAGGAATAATAGTTACTGATCTAGAGAAATACTAGCACATGTTTACTAACGTGTAAATCTGCAAAAGTTGAAAAATAAACATTTTTTTCCTCGAAAAATAAACATTATTTTCGTTAAAAGCCACATTTCTGGGAATCCTTTTGTTAAAAATAAACCATTGCCTACCATATATGCCTTCCTTTAGTGAAACCAGCCATCTATAATCCTTCTTTATGTGTCATCATCTAAATTTATATCCTCAACAGAATTTAACTACTGTAATTGGAGGTCTCGATCTCGAGTTTGAGTTTGGAGAATGGATAAATTTTTAGTGGGGATCGAGAGCTTCTCCTTTAGCGAGTTTTGTCCGTCACAACTTTAAATTAGTCGACACAGTGAATATCTAAATAAATAAAGAAAAGAAAGTTTAACTCCAAAACCTTCCTCGAGTTTACAAATATATACATCATTGCTCAAAAAGAACAAGTATCATTAACCATATGACAACACCATATTTGCAGACAATTCTTCTCACTACTGCCATAATTTTTGTGGTAGTTAGTACGAACCAAATTAGAAACCCATTAGGTAATATCCAAGAAATCTTATGGTGACAAGTACATGTGTATTTAAGAAATTAAACATTGTTTATTGCTACTTCTATGTTTTTAAAATTATATGTTTCCCTATCAAGAAATAATTTAAGTAAGAGTAAATTTCACTTAACCCCCTTAATTATATATTTTAAAAATAATACTAAGATGGTTCAAGCATGGAAGCCAAAAGCAAAGCAATAACCAGTGGAGAAAATGTAGAACCAACAACAACCTTTGCAACAGAGTGAAACTAATGAAAGGGGCAAACAGAAACTTGAGATTGCAATTGCTGAGAATACTCAAGCAGGATGGACTCAGGTGCGAGCAAAAGGATCCACTTCAGGTCAGAAATTGCTTGAACATCAATCAAGTAGACAACATGAAATAGCATATGGGCAAGACAGGCAGCAGCGATGATAGTGACCAAGAATGGTTTCCAAGCTTTGCCTGCAGAGGGACAAGGGGAAGAGAACGCTAGACCTCCTGATATAGAGGTGAACTCATAGTATCTCAATGACTTGGCTATTTTGGAATGTTAGGGGAATCAATAAGAGGTACAAGCAAAAAGAACTTAAGCAGTATCTCATAGATAACCAAATTAGATTAGTTGGTTTAGTAGAAACTAGAGTCAAAGAAAATAAAGCACAGTCTATAGCTACCAAGGTGGCTCCTAAATGGGATAGACTAACTAACTATACAGAAGCAATCAATAGGAGAATATGGATTCTGTGGGATGCCAAAAGCTATGAAGTTCAGTACATAGCAAAGGCAGCCCAACTTATTCATTGTCAGGTGACGGGTAAATTGAATGATATGGTTTGTATGCTCATAGTGGTATATGGGTTCAATACAGTAGATCAAAGGAAAACTTTGTGGTCTCAACTTGAACAGATGGCTCCCAAGATCAAGATGTCTTGGCTTATATGTGGATATTTCAATGTTGTGCTAACTACTCAGGATAGGCAAGGTAATCTTGTAACTATAGCTGAATTGAAGGACTTCTCAAAATATTACAATAATCTCCTGCTAACTAAAATACCTTGGAAGGGAGATTATTACACATGGACCAACAACCAAAGAGGGGATGACATAGCATGGAGCAGACTTGATAGGGCAATTGCAAATGATGAGTGGATGATGCAATATGGGCACTTGAATGTAACCTATGGAGAACCATTCATTTCAGACCATAATCATATGCTTATACCACTGAGAGTGCCAAGGAGCAACATTAAAGTTCCCTTTAGGTTCTTCAACATTTGGGCAGATCATGAACAATTTAATCAAATTATAGCACAAGGATGGGCCGGAACTATGGCAGTTGGAAAGATGAGGAATGTGTGTTTTAAACTGAAACAACTGAAGCCAGTCTTTAAGCAACTAAACTCAACAGAGTTTAAAGGAGTTTCAGAGAAGATTACATAAGCCAGAGAAATCTTGAAAGAGATTCAAGAAATAATGCAGAGCCATTATTCTGATACTCTAAATGATCAGGAGCACGAATGCCTACATTAATTGGAGAAGTGGTCATTGATAGAGGAAAGTGCATTGCAACAAAAGTCTAGGGCTATTTGAATTAGACTGAGTGATTCAAACAACAAATATTTCACAGCCATAATGAAGGAAAAGCAAACTCAGAAGCAGATTCTTGAGCTCAACTCCTTAACAGGTTAAGCAATCAAAGCTGAATTTGTTCACTTTTATAAATCTTTGATGGGAACAACAGCATCTAGCTTACCAGCTATCAATAGATTGGTCATGAGGAATGGTCCTTGTTTATCACATATGCAGCAGAAAGATTTGTGTGCTAATGTTACAGAGGCTGAAATCTATGAAGGACTGAATGCAATTGGGATCTGTAAAGTCCTAGGGATATATGGGTTCAATGCTTTATTTTTCAAGAGATCATGGCCCATTATCAAGAAACATGTATGTGAAGCAGTGAAGGAATTCTTTGATATAGGGAACCTATATAAGGCCATAAATTGCACCACTCTTACTTTACTGCCAAAAGTTGCCAACCCAGACACAGTAAAGGATTATCGACCTATAGCATGTTGCACAATATTGTATAAGCTGGTTGCCAAAGTCATAATTGGAAGAATGCAAAAAGTTATGAATCATATCATCTCTGAATCACAATCAGGCTTCATTCCAGGGAGAAGAATAGCAGACAACATAATATTAACTCATGAGCTGGTTAAGTCATACAACATGAAGCATATTTCTCCTAGATGCATGATAAAAGTGGATATACAGAAGGCTTATGATTCTGTAGAATGGATATACTTAGAGCAGGTTCTTGAGGGACTGGCTTTCCCTAAGAAGTTTATAAAATAGATAATGGCTTGTGTGACAACAGTTAATTACTTTATCTTGTTAAATGGAGAATCAGCAGAGCCTTTTAATGCAGCTAAGGGCTTGAGTCAAGGAGACCCAATGTCACCATTCTTATTTGCTATTGCTATGGAGTATCTGACTCGACTACTCAAAGGATTGAAGCAAGATAAACAATTCAAATATCACCCTCGATGTAGCAAGCTTGGTATCACTCACTTGTGTTTTGCGGATGACCTATTACTATTTGTCAGAGGTGACCTAGAATTAGTACAAAGGCTCAATCACTGTTTCTGGACATTCAAATCTACCTCAGGATTACATGCTAATTTGTCAAAGAGTGCAGTCTATTGTGGGGGCATGGATCCTATGCAAAAGGCAGCTGTCGTTCAAGCTCTTAGTTACACTGAGGGATAATTACCTTTTAAGTACTTAGGGGTTCCACTGGACACTAAAAAACTATCCATTCTTCAGTGGCAGCCCCTCATTACTAAAATGGTAGCAAAAATAACATCTTGGACAGCAAAACAATTATCTTATGCTGGTAGAGCTCAGTTGGTCCAAACAGTGATGTTCGGAATACAATCTTATTGGGCTCAGTTGTTTACACTTCCAGTTAAGGTTGTCAAATTAATTAAGGCTTACTGCAGAAGCTACCTATGGTCTGGTGGAAATGTGCTTACCAAAAAATCATTGCTTGCTTGGGAAAAGGTATGTCTCCCTATATCTGTAGGGGGACTTAACCTTACCAATCTGCAGGTGCGGAATAGTGCTGCAATTTCCAAGACCTACTGGGATCTAACTCATAAGCAAGATAAGCTGTGGATCAAATGGATCCATGCTTATTATGTTAAAAAGCAAAGGATTGATGATATGAGCATCCCTCAGAGTGCAAGCTGGATGATCAGGAAGATCTTTGAAGCTAAACATATAATCAATCAACTTCACAAGCCACTAGATGAGCAAAAGAGTATTATTAAGCACATATATTTATAGTTGATACCAACTCACTCTAAGATGGATTGGAGATGCTTAATGTTCCAGAACAATGCTAGACCTAAAGCCATATTTATTATGTGGCTACAGAACCATGGAAGATTGCTAACAAAAGATAGGCTGAAGAGATGGGGTCTCCATATGGATGAGACATGTGTGTTGTGTCAGGCTGATAAGGAAACAAGAGAACACTTGTTTGCAGAATGCTCTTATGCCAACATATTATGGAACAATTTATCTATATGGGCTCAAGTCCACTCCATTGTTCCCAATACTTGGATACAGTATTTCCAACTCATCATTCATCACTCAAAATGGAAGACAGCTTCAGCAATGTTACTTAAAATGATGTATGCTGAATACATACATGTGCTATGGAGAGAAAGGAATACTCGAATATTTGAGGGTGCAAGCAGAGAACATAAAGCACTGGCAAGGGAGGTTGTGAGCATATGCTACTTTAGGGCAGATAAAAAAGTGAAGAGACTGATACAGAATCTATACTTTTGAAGAAGAAGAAGAAGAAGAAGAAGAAGAAGAAGAAGAAGAAGAAGAAGAAAAGTAGTCATAGTGTTTTGATTTGTGTTTAGTTAGATAATACATGTATTGGGTTAGAAGGAACACATAGTGTTAGATCTTGGGTACTCCTTGTAGAGAACAGCTGGTTGGGATTGCTATGCTATATTTTGTAATGTATTCCTTGGTGATTAATAATAATTTTAATTACCAAAAAAATACTATTTAATTTGAATTATAATTCGTGATCCAACTACAAATATAAAATTGTTAACTAACTCATACGAATATAATAGAAAGTTCAGATTTATTTTTATTTTTAAATAATAAAAATATACATATGTTATTGAAAGTAATTTTCTATAATCATCATATCATCATACTATATTATAAGTGTGAAGACTTTTAGTGAAAGTTATTTTACTAAAATCTCCTTAAAAAATTGAATGACCAAATAATCCTCTACCTTAAAATAATATTATTTTAATTTTATTTGAAATACTGCTATTTGAACTTGTGAATTGGAAAATGAAATTGGTCATTTAATTGGGATCCTATTAAATGGTAAAATATAGATGCAATTAACGTGTAAATGTGTGAATTGAAAAATGAAGCTGAACATTTAATTAGGATCCTATTAAATGGTAAAACTATAGCTATTATGTGAATTCGTGAAAGGATAAAATGTAAATTGAAACTGGCCGATTTAATTTGATACTATTAAATGGTAGGATATAACTGTTGAACATGTGAATTGAAAAGTATTTTTTAGCACGACCAAAGCACTTTCACCTGCTGTGAATTGAATTAAAAAATGAAGTTTGACATTTAATTGGGATCTTATCAAACGATACCTTTTCTTAAAAATAATACTATGCTAGAAATAATTTTCAGTTTTGTTTTTTCCAGCTTCCACGGTAGATGTAATGCAGGCAAGCAGCACATTTCAATTTTCTTTCTTTGATCTTCTATGATAATAGAAATATTTTTGCAGTCTTTTTACATTCTTTAATTCACACTATAATAGTGCACATCAAATTATCTAACCATTGTATCAGTTGCAAAACGAGGGCATCATGTAGCTTTTTCCTTTGAACAAGATACCAAAAAATATAAGTAGCAAGAGATTTTGCAAGAGGTAAAACCCTTACAGCATTTTGCTCTTCCTTATTTCCTCCTATTTATTATTCTTTTTTTAAGTTGGAGCTTGTAATTTTTCATATTCCTCGTCACTCGCATGTTTCTAATATTAGTATTCTCCTTTTGTTTTATTTGTCGAGCTCTTTTCTAATTATTAAATTTGAAAACTATAAGATATTATTTTCTGATCTTAATACATTGTTAAAGTTTCATGAAGTACTAAAACATCAAACTATCAATATTTTGCACATGATTGTGCCATATTTTATAATACAGTTATATTTATGTAATTTATCTAATATTTTTTTGTCAAAGTCACAAATGAAAGGACTCATAATTTTGAATAAGACAAAAGGTACATGTATGTGTATTTAGGCTTATATATATATATATATATATATATCACCACAACATTTTAGGTTTTTAGTCACCCTTGGTAAGTGTGGCCTAAACTATCAAGAAGTGTGACATTTGATAAAAGGCCACACTTTTCAACTTCAAGCAACGCTTTTCTAGGGCTGGCCTAACTAGCGTAATCTTTTCCCTAAGGTTACGCTTTGTAAGTGTTGTTTTAAAGGTCACACTTCTAAAGTGTGGCCTATAAGGTACAAATACTACGCGTGTAATACCTCATGTGCCAACATTTTTCATGTCCTAAAGCTACATGTTTAAATCGTTGCCTTTTCTACCTCGAGGCCACCCTTATAAAGTGTTGCCTTTGTTAATAATTTCATATATCTAGTATTCACATTTATCATCAACAGTATATATTATCATCATAAATTTTTACATTATTGCAAACGTATGAAGATCTCAAACACTACATTAATCAATATATAAATAACAAAACAAAAACAAAAAAGATTCAAGGCATACACTTACAATGAACTTTGAAAAAGAAATATGTATCAAGTACTACATTAACTAATAAAGCAATCTCTTAAAGGTCGACTACTGGAAATGAATTATACAATATCTGATGTACTCTATCATGAATAACACTTTAAAACATATTATAGTACTAAAGGTAGTATACGGTAGAAACCCAATTTGTTATCCCCTTGGGCCTTAGCACCCTTCACATCAATCTCCTAATTTTGCAACTGATCCATTTTCGGCAGCTTGACCACCCTATTAATCTAAGCAACATGTGAGATTTCCTTGTTCAGATCATCAAAAACTTCTGAAGGTTTTTGGGTCTTAAGTTCCCTAATTGTTGTTTTGCCTTTCCATACCTGCAATTGAGACCAACAAAGATGCATTATTTATTATAGTCTGCTCCTAATTTAAAAAAAAAAAAATTATTTATGCCAGCTGCAGTTAGATAATATTAGATGAGTACTATAAAGTTGGAGGGGTTTAAATATGTGAAAGCGGGATATTGAAAGAGAGAAATCTAATTTTCTCAAGGATCATGCTCACCCTTTAGAATGATGACTTATTCACCTAGCAATCTTGAAAAAATCAGCACTCGTAACGGATAAAAATTATTGAAGTACTTGACAAACAAACTTTTAAAATAAATAGAAACATGGCTACTAGAGAAATACTTATAAATTAATTCTACAATTTCATTTATTAGAATGGAATTCAGAAGTATGAGTAAAAAGTTTTCACATGAACTAACTTACTACTGTTGCCGTATATGAGATAAGGTGCAGATCCAGATGAAAATATTCAGGTGCTCCGGTAGATTTTAGATCATACTAACTAGTTTAACTACCAGTTTTCTTTTCCACCTTCACTCATCGCTACTGTTTGCTTTACTCATCATGCTCCCATAGAAAACTAACCAGCAGCAACCTGCAAACACCATATTAAAATTATTTCGATATGTATATATGAGAGACAATAAGCAGAATCTTTCCAAAAAAAATACTGGAAGAGATTTATATTATTAGAAAGTATGAGAAGTTTTCTAGAATATCACCCTTCACTCTGCATTGATATTAAGAACAAATAAGAATAACCTGCAAGATCACTAATTAGAATGAATTCTAAATACATTGTCATCTACCTACTATTTTCTTTTTCATCCTATTTCATATCTTATTTACTTTATTTTATATTTGTGGGGTCTAATAATTTTAATAAGCTTGAGTAGCCTTCAATCTACTAAGGAAAAGAACAACTCTTTCTACCTCTTGATCCTGCACATTCATACTGAAGGTCAAATGCTTATTATTGCTTTCTCTACACTCAGCAACTGAAGCATCCTTGAGTGTGGTAAGATCGTCGATATCTTGGAATAAATCTTACAAAACTACAATCTACCATCAATGGATCTTTCTGCTTCTAGATTCTGTTAATAGACTATAATATGAGTCAACTGATTCTCTTAAAAACACATGAAATATGTTATGATAAGCATAACTTCTTACCATAATAAAGACCAACTATCATAAACTAAGAGAACTAAGAAACATAGAAGGTAGGACTTCGAAGAACGGATCATTTTTGTCCAACAACCGATACAATAAAAAACTGATTAATACAAAGAAAATGAGAGAAAAGACTCGGAGAAGATGCAAGTTGTATAAGTAAAGCAACCTATCAATCACCGGTGAAGCATTCACAAATAGAATGTATATGACAAGCAAAATATCAAACACTAGTTAAGTTGAGCATCATGTTCTTTTTTTCATAAAGTAAAAGGAGTTCATTAAAAGAAGTCAAGAGGATGCAAACAAAATTACAATTGAGAAAAGAATATGTTTGCTCATGGACAAAAGCTAATCTAAAACTAAGGAGCAGTAATGCATTTGATGTTAAATTTTGCTCCTTTTATTATTTCAATTAAGCGGTACATTTTTATCCATTGCTTTCATAGAAGAGTATTAGCCCGTTGCACTAGCTGGACACTACATATTAACAAGTTATTTTACATCTTATACTTGATTTATTTTTCATTCTTAACTAGATGGCTTATATAGGATGGCAACTTTTCTAGAAGCAACTAGGTCCAAACAACCAAATGCTAAGAAGTGATAGTGTCAAATAGTACAGAATGACTGAAAATTTAAACCCAAAAGCAGTATGTGTATCATAGGTATTGTACAAGTCATACACACGTCATTATGATAAGCTGCCATCTGACATCTTAAGGATTGCCAAAGAAACAAAATAAATAACAAGAGCTACTATAAACAACTAGCATATTAATACGAAGTATTGTGCTATTCTTTATTCCCACTTACAAGGAAAATAAGGAAGTAAAGAATGTATAGATGACCAGTTGAATCAACGCCCACATAAAGTCTTCTTCACTATTCACTACTGTCAATACCAAAGCCAGCTCTGCAGCTACCTATGTATGATGGATTATCCAAAACAAACCCTTGTGAATGGGCAAATTAAAAAGAACTAAATAAATATTGAGTTGACGTCAATTAAAGGGTCTTACAATGGCTTAAAATGTTCCAACTTGAATAGTCAGTGAAGGTTTTGAAGAAGCCAGAGCTCGATAGCCTTCAAATGGAATGAAAATTACTTGTAAAAATGAACAAGCTGATAGATGAATAGTGTAGTTGAGATTTTTTTGGACTATCAATAGATCTTAATTAGCTCCTTTATATAGAGTTGTTGAGTCGGTTATAGTTTCTGGTCCAAATTGAGTTCACCAAAGACTAGGTTTACCAATTCTACTAGAGCATTAACGCTAATCGGAAATAGTGAATTGACAATAAGAATATGATAGAATAGAGCAAAATAAGAAAGAGAATGCTAGAATGAGCGAGGCGACAACATAAATTCTACACAATAGAGCAAAATGAGAAGCCTACAATGCAATAACTAAAGGTATAATACGGAGAACATAGATTACTAGAGAGATAAATAGAAAACCGAAGAGTGAAGAGAAGAAAGTACTCACAGAGATTAAACTACCATAGCCCTAAAATTTGGCTAGGGTTTTCGAGGATTAGAAGCAGCAACTGAAGTTGAACGTTTCTGTCTCTGAGATGCCTCTGTAATTAGGAAGAGAATGAATTTGGGAAAAGAATATAGATGAATTGTGGGGCAGGAAGAATGGGGAATGGAAAATCAAAATAGAACTTAATTAGAAAAATAGCCTTATTTGCCTTTTCAAAATGGGGGGAAATATTTTATTAAGAGGTTTCAGGGGGAATTTTTGGTGAAAATTTTTAGACCACACATACGAAGTATAGCTTTTAGGATTAATAAACAGAAACGATTTGAAACAACAACAACAACCCAGGAAAATCCCACAGGTGGGGTCTGGGGAGGGTAGTATGTACGCAGACATTACCCTTACCCCAAAGGGTAGAGAGACTGTTTCCGAAAGAACCTCGGTTCAAGATAATAAGAAAAACAAAAGGGGAGAATATTAGTTTCACCATAGAGATCATAGGAAAAATAGGAGCCTAAAATGCATAGGAAAAATACAAGACAGAAATTATGGCTAGTAAATAGATCTAGCACCGAAAACAGAAAATATTAAGACACGACAATGCCCATAGTCTTTATGAGCCGAGGGTAGTGTTGTGATATAGGTAAATAAGCGTTGCCAAATTTTTCGTGATTTGGCAACACTTAATGAGCGTAGTCTTTAGTTTCTAAAAGTACCCTTTTAAAGTGTAGCCTAAACTTCGTAGCCAAAAGTCAGAGACAAAGGCCACCTCTAAAAAAGTGTGGTCTTAGATGCTTTTGGCAACACTTCTCAAGTGTCGCCTAAAATTAGTGTTGTCTTAGGCCAAATTTGTTGTAGCGTATATATATAAATATATACACTCACACACATCAATTAGATAAACTATTATCTCTATACAAAATTAACTCTACTTCTGTGTAGGTGTACATCATGGTATCAGCAAATGATCTACTAGCCATTCTAACGAAGATATATATTGATCGAATTTCTGTACGACTTCCGCAAAACATTATTTTCATTCGACAAAAACTTTTTGTTATGTATATGGGTATAAAAAGAAAGTTAAAGTCTCTTAAAAAGAAGGCAAAACTTTAGGACATGAAACATTTGCAAACATAGCCAATGTTGCTCAAATTTACATCTAAATTATGTGTTGTTGATGTATAAAAAGAAGAATTACTGCCACGTTGAGTACTTGATAAAAGAATTGCATGTATAATTAAAATCGAACATTACTTTTCAAACTTATTCAAAAGCAATTTTTCAGTATGATTTGAATAGGTTCACATTCATCAACGTGAACTTGTATTTTTTTTCTTTCAACTTCTATCACACACTTATTTTAATACCTTTAAAACGTTTGTATTAATCAATATGAGATACACGTGCAATGCACATTTCCAAAAACTAATAAATATTTATACGAATGAATAAAAAATAAAATGATCAAATATAAAATTGCTTTTAACGGTCATCCTCATAATAAAAATTCTCATAACAAAAACTTGTGTAATTCTATTTAATATATAATTGAACAAGAATTTTAAAAAGTCATATTTAAATATAATTGCAACATATAATTACCACAAATGATTCAATATTAAAAATCTAAAGGTTGAAGCCATCAAATATAAACTTTGGATCAGCCTTTGCCAACATCCCATCCCTGAACTTACTCTGAAATAAAAAGCAACAAAGTTTCCCTCAACAAAAATAATACAAATGTTGTGAATCCTGATTCCCCTCGGCTCCCAAAATGCAATTTTGGCTGAAAAGATTCTCTAGTGTATACTTCTTGTGAGAAGTTTAAAATATTCAAAACGCACATGCTATATGCGAATTACATGCATTCAACATTTTTTTTTGGTTTAAAAGGCTACTTTATATTAATTAAACTTGTAGTACAAGAAGCGGTTGCGCTTGGGCAGAATTACAAAAAAGTGCTAGGAATATAACTAATATTCAGTATTACTAATATTATGGGGGCTGATGATGGATTAAAATATTCAAAACGCACATGTTATATGCGAATTACATGCATTCAACATTTTTTTTTTGGTTTAAAAGGCTACTTTATATTAATTAAACTTGTAGTACAAGGAGCGGCTGCGCTTGGGCAAAATTACAAAAAAGTGCTAGGAATATAACTAACGGCACTATTGTGCCTTGATACACTATGAATAGCAGTATTACTAATATTATGGGGGTTGATGATGGAAGCTTATGTTAGAGGTAGTGCTTGTGGAAGGCACGTCCAATATAGTACAAAAAGTTTGCGGTGATCCATACATAGTGGTATTTGTTGTGCTACGCATTCTAGGTCTCTTATGTCCTTGCTTATCTTCCATAAGGTGTTGGCTGATGAAGTGCGGAGGATCTGCCAAAAAGGTGATGTTGCTGCCCGACAAGTCCATTTCAAAATGTGCGAGTTGGTCTGCTACCATATTTTGCTCCTTGTAGATATGTAACGACCCGACCAGTCGTTTTAAGCTCTAGCATGTTGTTTAGCGGTTTGAGGCCATGAGCAGCTTCACTTAAGGTATTATGACTTTGTATGCATGGTCGGAATTGAATTCCGGAAAGTTCGAAGTTGATTTGGGGAGAGAATTCTTATTTCGAAAACCTTAAGTTGGAAGAATTGGCTAAGATTGGATTTTTGAGTAAACACCCTCGAGATCGGGATTTGAAGGTTCCAACAAGTTCGTATGAGGATTTTGGACTTGGGCGTATGTCCGGATCGGGTTTTGGATGACCCGGGTGCGTTTTGGCGCCTATTGTGGAAGTTAGCATTTTTGGAAAGAACTTCATAAGTTTGGGTTAAAGCGTATTTCAGTGTTATCAATATCTGTTTGGAATTTTCGGTCCAGGAATAGCTCCATATGGTGATTCTAGTATTGGGAGCGCCATCGGAAGTGAATTCGGAGGTCCGTAGGTCATTTTGGACTTATTTGGCTAAGAATAGAAATTTGAAGATTTTTAGAAGTTTGACTGGAAGTGGTCTTTTTGATATCGGGGTCTCCGATTTCGGAAGTTGGAGTAGGTCTGTAATATCAAATGTGACTTGTGTGCAAAATTTGAGGTGAATCGGACGTGATTTGATAGGTTTCGACATCGAATGTTGAAGTTTGAAATCCTAAAGTTCATTAAGCTTGGATTAGAGGGCGATTTATGATTTTAGCGTTGATTGATGTAATTTAAGGCCTCAAGTAAGTCCGTAATGTGTTTTGGGACTGGTTGGTGTGATTGGACGGGGTCCCGGGGGCCTTGGGTGGAATACGGGTGGTCAACAGATCAAAAATGGAACATAAAGAATGGATGAAGTGCACCAGTTCTGGTGTAATCGCACCTGCACTAGTTTGATCGCGGGTGCGTGATCGCACAAGCGAGGGAATGATCGCAGATGCGGTTATGTAGCCATAGAAGCGGGACCGCACCTGCGGTAGTTGAGGCGCAGAAGTGGAAAGGGCAACCTAGTGAGAAACTGCAGGAGCAGTAGTGGGGCTGCACCTGCAGAACCGCAGAAGCAGTCGAGTGACCATAGATGCGGAAATGCTGGAGGCAGTACGGTTCTTTAAATCGGGGATTTTGGCCATTTTCTACCATTTACTCTTGTTTGGTCGATTTTTGGAGAGCTTCAAGTGGGTGTTTTCATCATCACTGTCAAGGTAAGTTATCCCCACCTATCTTGAGTTAAATACATTGATTATGTATGGATTTTAGCATGAAAATTGGTAGAAATTTGGGGTTTTGGTGGAAAGACCTAGAATTTATATTTTTGGATTTTGACCACGATTTTGAGCATGAAATTGAGAGAAAATTATATATTTGAGTTCGTGAGGTCATGGGTAAATTTTGCCCTTGTTTCCTTCCTATTCAATCCTATGCGACGTGAAGTGCTTGTTATCAAATTAGGAATTGAGGAATTGTAAGGATACTACAGATGTGGTGCGGGGTGTTTCTCCCGGCATAGGTGATTGGGTTATTATCGTCGCCTTGTGGAAGGATGTTCAGTCATTTCAGCTCGGTAGCTGCAGTTCTGAGAGCTTTGAAGCTATGTACAGATTGCTATGATAGCTCATGTTTGGTTATCGCGCGATATAGACGTGATGGTAGGATGCCTGCCTATGTATTGGGGCAGTGAATGACTTGAATGGAGGTCTACTCAGTGTATGATTCAGAGATTTGATATTTTATTTCCGGCAGAGGAAAAACAATTGGCCCGTGAATGTCCAGGTTTGGATTGATAGAGTAACGAGACTTAGTGTTTTCAAGTGTGGTGGAATTTTCATCTGCAATGTGGTATCGTCACCCTAGATTGAATGTGTTAAGTTCGCCAGCATTACGATCTTCTACGATTCTAGGGCATGATATTGTGAAATAATATTTGAGAAGCGACTGTCAGAGATCGCGATGGTTTAGGGCTGAACCGGTGTCCCTATTGTTGATGGCTCGAGAAAGATGACCTTTAGGGAGATTTGAAGTTAGTGACGATCTGTTGGTTCCAATGTTACAGAGATAGAGATTGAATCAAGGCAACAGCTGGGCAGCAAAGGATAAGAAATGACAAGCGGGAAGTATCATACGGTGGTTAAAATTCTAAGAAGGCCAAGTGTAAGAAGCGGAAGTCGAGTACTTGCTTAAAGAAGAGGGTTTGGCCAAAATGGGAGAGTGGTAGAGTAGCATATGGATTCAGTGGCAGGATAACTACACCCTTAAGGAAAGTTTGGAATGATTTGGGAATTCTAGCGGGCGATGCTTGGCTCTACGGGCTTAATATGGAATATTGGCTAGTATGCGGAGGGAGATTGGATACGACGGAAAGGAGTTGCTTGATATGAAGAAGGATACAACATGACTTTGGATAGGAAGATATTGTCACACATTTATTTGATGTCCATGAGGAGTGAATGGACTTGTGCAGCTAATGGACGAGCACGGGCTCAAGTGGGTTATCTCCTATGAGTGGGTTAGCAGTCCCGTGGTTGGCGAAGCTCCTACGAAGGATTTTACTGACTATCCGGTAAGAGGTCGAATATGTAAATGTCGCTAGAGATTCAGAGTGTTCATAAAATGCTAACTGAAGGATTTCGAGGAATTTGGCAAGTGGTGGTGCAAGATCAGTCTAGCGGGGAAGAAAGAATCTTGGTGGGTTCCAGAGTTGTGTAATAGTGTATTCAAGCTAAGTG